CAGAAAGGGGACAAAACGTGGTAAAATTGAAATGGGAGCAAATGGAATGGAGGTAGAACAAAAGTAACTTGTGGTGCATCGTTGCTTAGGAGACAGAGGGTGTGAGATAGCCCAGAAAAATCCCCTGCTGGATTATTTCTTGTTACAGTGGGAATACGCTCAGTACATCAAAGATCAGATAAAATCAGTGCTTATGCATTGGCTGCACTTATTGATACTGTGCAGTTTACAAAGTTAGTAAAATTTCTTGTGAAAACAAGAATGCTGACGGTGATGGAGTAAAGTTTCACAAAAGATTGTTTTGCCATATCCATCAGATCTTTGGAAGCCAACTGTTCAGCACAGCTTTTGGGTTGATGTCTGAGAACTAAAGCTAAGGAAGACCTTTGGTGTGGCTGAAAAATTTCCCTGTAAGGTGACATCTAGTCATGGTCGCTTATAAGATCAAGTCTTCGTCCTTCCTTACTAAGAAGTGTGTCAGAAGGACAGTGAGAAAGTAAGCAGCTGCTTAAAGAGGGAGGAGGATATAAAATGCCTGTTGAGACTTTTTATCAAGTACAATTAATGGCTATCTGTATTGATAGCCATTTTTAAAAAGATTTTTTTAGTCTTCGATTTATGGCTCTAAAACATAATTTCCTTTAGATGAGTGTGTTTGGATAATTTTAAATCTTGGCTAGCCATTAATATAAAGAATTAAAGCACAAAATATTCACCCTTAAATATCTAACTCACAGAATGTTTGGGGAAGGGGAGAAAGGGAAGGTGATTGTTGTAGACTCCAAAAGGAGCAATCTTTAACCAGAAGGCACCAAGATATCTATCTAGATAAGAACTTTAGAGTATCCCTGTGCTGATGTATTTTCATTAAGACTTGAGTCAGGTTGATGGCAAATCAGTTAATAATTTGCATTGTTAATAACAAGCATCAATGGAATATTAATTCCCCCCTCACCCTCCAAAAAGCTCAAATGTGTTACCATGCAAAGGAAAATTGTTAGATTTGGTTAGAGCTGAGTTACTGATACAAAACACAGTGAAAGTGCACCTGTTGGAGGAGAGGAGCTGTTTTTGCATTGCCACTTTCTCTTGCTGTCTTGCACCAAAATGGTTGCTGCATTAATGCAGACCTGTTTTCAGTCCATTTTTTTTTTTTTTTAAGTGAAAGCAAAAGATTAACGTTGGTTATAGGGTTGAAGATGTAACGAGTGTGCGTTTGGCACTGCAGGCATCTGAATTTCTCGTCTGTAACTTTTTAAAATTCTGAAGTTAGAGGTAAGTTTTAGAACTTTATGTAAGAACACACTGCTTTTTGTTGTATTTTCTTCATTGGTCTCTTATAAATATGACTTCATAGATCTTGTCACCTGATCCTGAACACATTAGTTGTACTAGCAAAATACAAAATAAGGACATTAGTCCTCAATGCATGTAGTTTGTCCTAGCTGTGCACCTTATAATATGCATGCCAAATCTCATAAGCTGATCTTGTCTTAAGTCAATGATCCTGAATGTGGAATCAATCCAACATGCTGCCTATAAACCATGTATATAAAACAGCCCAACAGTTTTTGCCTTCGGAGACCACCATCTAACTCCATTTGTAATGGAGACCTCTTTGCATCCAGCTTTTTCTTCAGCAGTACCATCTGAGTAGGATTTGGCACACACAAATGGTGATCTCTACACTTGAGAAAACAACCAATAACCTGTATGTAACTGTGGAGTTGTTAGCTTCTTCTGTTCTGCTTGGAATACCCTTGCTCATTGTTAGCTTCTTCTCTTCTGCTTGGAATACCCTTGCTCGTTTCCTGGCTCTTGTGATCCTGATCTGATGCTCGCTGTGAACTGTGAGTGAACTGTGAAACCTGCCGGCTGCTCAGCAGAACCTGGTTTGGGCACTGTCACCCACTTTCAGCTGAGAATTTGATGTCTGGACGTCAAGTTGATGGTGGCTTTGCTGGATCAGAAACAGTGTGATGGACTGACACTATTGTCCAGGCTAGTCATATAGTGACAACTTGTTAGAGGCGGGGACCCAATCAGAAATCCAAATACTTCTGTTAGCATCAGTGGGGCTTGGAGCAAGACTTCCTCCGTGGGCTACCACCGCTGTACCCGAAAGAGCTCACAGCTAGAAACCTGCTTGAAACCTTTCTTAGAACAGCATCAAATATCTGCCTGGTTGTAAACCACTCAATTTAAAATAAAACTAATTTAATTATTTTGTTAGGCAGATTACCTTCTTAATCTGAAAAGTTAATAGGAACATTTTGATAAATGATCGGTAAAATCTGTTTTTTATTTTTAAACTTACCTATTACAGATAGAAATATTTAACCTGTTCAGCGTTATCCATTTTCAAGAGGTTGAAGTTGGAGAGACTGTAAAAGAGAATCAATGGAACTGCTGTGCTTCGATTTTTTTATTTTTGCTCTTTCCATTCCCAAAAATGTCACCAGATAGTCATGTCTTTAACAGCTGCATCAAATAAAAAAAATAATTCCAAATAGCAATAATGTGCCTTCATTGTTTCTCTCCTCTTTCTCACTGGCTCCTTCCTTTTTTGTTTGTTTTTGCAAGGTTTGAAGACATGAGACACAGCCTCTGTTTCTAAGCCTTGTATTTTTTCTTTACTTTGCATTTTCCACATTCTTAATTGTTTCTATATTATCTTTGTTTATGGCCTGGCTACATGTAGCTAAGAATATGGTCTGTGACATCCACTGATTTCAGCACAGTCAGGTGTGTGATCACCAGTAATGTACAAGATCACATGGTCCTACAGTGTTGGATGTCTGAAAATTTTTAGGGTGTGTGATTTGAGTGATTATGATAAGGGTTTGGCATGTGAATTAGGGGACCCGACAGACCGAACAGTTCTGTTGTGGTTGATTACAGCAGGACAATCTCTGTAGTCAACAGATTCTAGTCAGCACAACATTTTAACTCCTTAGGTTTTGTCTCCTTTCTCTGTAAAAGCAGTGCTTTATAGTTAGGTAGTGAGAGATAAGCAATGATTTTTCAGTTCCGATCTGCTAAATCCTGATCCATGTTTTCCTACCTATATCTCATGGGTTTTGGATTATTCCCTTACCAATGTTCATCAAATTTGCTAACAAGTATTTTGTTCATCTTATTATTTCTGCTGAAATCTTGTAGCTCCTCCCCTGAAATACCAATGCTAATTATAAACTATACTTTGGAAACATTTTCTGCATCCTAGAGAATGTCTAAAGATGTCTATAGAATCATTTAACTGAAAACAAGAAATCTCAGTGTTTCATCCACAGCTCTCTCAAATTCTATACGTGCCTAACTTTGTGCCTGTTATTGTGTAATGTTTTAATTGGCACCTTTCTTTTTGTGGTTGATCAGTCAAAGCACAGTATTACCCAAAGACAAACCGAAATGTAAAACTTTACACGTTTTGCACTACTAGCCATTCAAAAAAATCTTTTTGTTTGTTTGCATTTAGTTAAACAAGTCAAATTACATGATGATTGAAGACAATAAAGAGAATGAAGACCATGCATCTGAAAGAGGGAGAACGGCCATAATTTTTTCCTTGAAGAATGAAGTCGGAGGACTCGTAAAAGCATTAAAACTCTTTCAGGTATGCAATAATCATATTGCTACAGCAGGTCTGTAGTTTTAAATTGTAAGGATAGTTTTGGAACACATTAGACTTAATTGCATCCATTTATTAAGGATTTGATTCCTAACCTGGCTCCCACTTTGCACCCAAAATTACCCATGAAGGTAAACTCATGCCTCAGAAATGAGATGCTGGCTGGCTAAAAATCTCTGCAAAACTTATCATCTGCACCGACAAAAGACTGAGAGAGTTTTGCCTTTTCCCCTCATGAAAACAGGATTGACACTCATTGCTTCTACTGCTTATAAGAGGTGGATCTGAAGCTCCTGCTGATGGCAGGTAGACACTTGGGGTGCTGACCCACACTGGGGTTAGTCCAGTGTCCTTGTCACTCTGCCCAGCCAGACTGAGGGTGACAGAGGAACTGTAGTTGCACAACTGTGCTCCTTCGATTGCTGGGCAGGTGCGGTGCAAGGAATATGGGCAGTGCCACTGTGCTCTGTCATCTGGCCCTGCATGTCTTAGCTTGGGGTTTTCTCTATGTTCCCACTACAAGACATATGATTAAATAATTTTTCCAATAAAAGTGAAATTTATGCCCTGAAAACTACTGCTTTTAAATCCCTTGCTTGCTTGTGAGATAATTATATGGTGACTTGATTGGCATTTTGGTGAATTTCCCTAGACCCAGTTGCTAATCAGCTTCCTATGGGAGGGATGAAAGAAAAAGGTCTATGAATTTAAACGTCCTGACTGTGTCTTTCTGTGCTTCCTGAATGTAAATGAAATTGAAAGAACACAGGTTCTCTTTCATTTTCTTCTGAACAGGAGACTTTTAAAATCAAACCATTCCCCTCCTCTTTAATAAGCAAACTGCTATCAAGAGATCCAAGAGAACTAAAATAGCTTCACAAAGGTGGTGAATATTCCATGGCAGTAGAATATTTATTTGAAAAACAAATTCTAGTTGTCAGTCAATCTGTTTGAAAACATTGCTTCTTACAAAACAGGAGAAGCATGTAAATCTGGTACACATTGAGTCACGGAAGTCCAAGAGACGAAATTCTGAGTTTGAGATCTTTGTGGACTGTGACAGTAACAGGGAACAATTGAATGAGATCTTCCAGCTCCTGAAATCCCACGTCAACGTTGTCTCTATGAACCCGACAGAGCATTTTAATGTCCAGGGAAATGGTAAGTACAAAAGGCCGATCTGATGAAAATCTGCTTCTCGATGTGTTGGTTAGAAATCTTTTTATGCTCTTGGGTAGTGTTTTTGATCAGTAGCTACCAGGTTTATGCCTCTGTGTTGTGAAGGAGTGTGGTTGATATGGGCAGGGCTGCGTCGGCTGGTGTCACCCAGGAGTACGGGCTGTTTCAGGCTGGTGCAAATCGCATGTCTGTCATCTGTGCTCCCGTCTTTTCTCAGCACGGCACAACAGGCATCTATGGGAGTCTCTGCACCCGTGCAGGCCGGCATGTAGGCAAAGCCTGGATGCAGAGCTTGGCTAGGAACTGACCACCATGATGACAGAGGGGTAATACTGACAAATACCAGTTCAGTTCAGACACTGGTGAGAGTGGGAGATGGATTCTGTAATTTCCTCATGTAGCTCTTGAGTTGATTTTTTTTTTTTAACTGCTCTTCATCATAACTGGTTACTTATATTAGTGTGAAAGACGTGCCTTTTAACTTTAGGGTGCTTCAGATCCTGTTTACCTTTGCTTCTAGTTAAAGAGATGCCTGAAGTTCAGGGCAGCAGGAAGTCAGTCCCGTGTATTTCTCAGCCACTGTGCTTGGCACAGGCTGGTAGGTAGGTAAAGTTGAGATCTGGTGTCTCTTCGATAAAAATGGTTTACTTTAGCCCTAAGTAAGGGGAATTTCAATCTAAACATTCCTCTTGTATTTTTTGAGAACACTGAAGGGCAGAACATGAACATGAGGGCAGAAAAACTGTGTTGACTACTCTGCCAAAAGCTTGGTTATAAACTTTCTTGGACTATTAAAAAAAAAAAAGAAAGTAATGAGTAGCAAAACTGTAACAAAGTGTGTGTCTCAGGCTGCAGGGCTGAAATTGCCTCCTTCTCTTTCTCTTTCCCCACAACCCCCTTGGCAAAGCTGGATGCTTCTGAGGTACATAACCACAGAGCAGCGTTCAGTTCCCATGGTCAGTAAAGCAGGATGGGAGGACTCCATCCTGCTCCCCCTCTCCAGAGACAACAGGCAAATCACTTCTCTGCTCCTTTGCACACTCGGTACCCCAGAAGCTTCACACAGCACTGTGCACGAGGAGGCTTTGTCTCAGTGAGAGCCTCTAGATACTACTCTAACCTTAACAGTACTAACAGTAAGGGCCACAGAAAACTCGTGTTAACTGTTTCCTCCCTGGACGCTTTGGAGCTGGCTGTGCTCTCGAGGCAGACGGTGACAGTGACAGAGGAGGAAGTGTGAGCTGTAGGCTGGTGCCAGATAGGCAGTGGGCTCTCTTGCCTTATTCGTGACCCTTTTAATTTATAGATTTCGCTTGTAACCGCCATAGCCATACTTGAAAGTAGCATTTCCTCCCTCAGCATGCTTGGCGTTATTAATAACTTTGTGGATTCCATGCCTTCCCTAGACATGGAGAATGTTCCCTGGTTTCCGAAGAAGATCTCAGATTTGGATAAGTGTGCAAACCGAGTGCTGATGTACGGGTCTGATTTGGATGCTGACCATCCAGTAAGTATTTTTCCCTCCTACACCCAATGCTTAGTGAAAACGTACTTTGTGGAGCTTGCTTTAAAAAACTGCAGCTTTTCCTCCTCCCTCTCCTTCCCTTCAACTGTGCCTCCGTGGGTCTGAGCACCTTCTCTTGGGGGTTTCATGTCTTTTTCCTAGTTCAGGCAAGGCTGTCACTGAATTCAGCTCCTGTGCCTTTCCGCAAGGCTTACTCCTGCGAGGGCTCCAGGTCTGGGCCCTGAGTGGTCACGTACAAATTGAGAAAAAAGCCGTTGTGAGGCAGGCTGGGTTCCTCCTTTTTCTTTCTTCCTTACTACAATTGAAGCAAACAAATTGGTACTTGGGCAGTGCAAACGGGCAATTTGTTCTGTAGTTTAGAATAACCAAACAAGTAACAAAGTTTGTATAACTACTGAAATGACTAAAATGAATTCTTGCCTACTGAATATATAGTTGTAGGCATAAAACTGCTGGTCCTTACTTTGAAGTATTTACTTAGTTCACAGTTATTAAACATTTCAGACTACAGCTGTGAGGCTCCTGCCCTGTCCTCTCATTCTTACACAGCATATTTTTATATTTCCCAACTGAAGAAATTTCAAGTGTCTTGTTTTAAATTCATTTATTCACTACAGCTTGGAAACTCATTTGACCTTTTTTTTTCTCTCATTCCCCCTGCCAGGGTTTCAAAGACAATGTGTATCGCAAGAGGCGAAAGTATTTTGCAGACCTGGCTATGAACTACAAACAGTAAGCTCGACTTCTTCCAGAATAAGCCTTCTGGGTGTCTTGAAATAATAGCAGAGTGGACTGGCAGGAACTCGCATTCCCTGGGCTCAGATCTTGCTGAAACATGCTTAGCTTGGGAATCAGAGCTGGAGGGGTAAAACAAAGGGAGATGTAAGACAAGATTAAAAGATAGATACAAAGGGAGATGTAAGACAAGATTAAAAGATAGATCTAGGCCATCTTACAGCACCCATGGGCCTCTGATGGGTCTGAGGATCAGCTCATGGTTGCTCGGCCATTATGGCACCTGCGGCAGTGCTGATTCTTAGATGGACAGCAATGCCAGCGTGGGCTTCCTGCAGTGTGGTGCATTTGGACTCTGCATTCCCTCCCTGCTTCTCTGTAAATGGGTGCAACAGAAGGTGAACAACATGTGTTGCACAGCTGCCTGTGCCAGGACGTACGGACTTGACTAGGGCAGGTCGGTCTCCTTTGCAAACGGAGCAAGAGGGAAGGCAAAACCCAATATAGAGCCATTGACCACTGAGTATAAACCCTCTGGGCAAATGTTACTACTTGAGTTCCTGGTTCAAACTAGTGCATGTGATGTGTAGATAAGAAGTTTTCTGTGAAAAGAAATTTGAAGAGCTCTGTCTTTAGAGGTGCTGCTTGGGGGAGGGAGCTCTTAAAGCAGTAAAAGTCTCATAGCCCAGTGCTGTAAATTCTTTCTAAATGTGATTTTCGTGTTGCTGTTGCCTTCTTGAATTTAGATGCCAAGTTCCTCAATTGGAAATGACCTAGAAGTGGTGGGTATCTAGAGCTCTATTACACTCTGTGTTAATGCAACTGGTTACCGCAGCACAGAGCCAGTTACTGTTAATGTATTGTTAGCAGAAATTCCCTTGGGAAAGCATCTGCCATGCTGGTTACCTGGCTGGCAGCGGGAGCTCAGTGTAATACTCCCATTGCTTTCAGTGGGCTTTAGGTCACACCCTTGCTATAATCCACTTTAATCAAGATCCTGAGGGTTAAATAGGAGACAACAATTAATATGTTCAGACAGATGCTTGTCTCCTCTCCATAGAAGCATGATTTTTGCTTAATGTGTATATTTAGCTGCTTCCACAAAATGTATTGTTGATTCAGGGAATTCTCTTTCTAAAACAAATCAAAAAGATAATGGAAAGTAATTCTAGACAGGGAAATCCAACAGGGGAAAGGATGTGTTCTCAGCTCCTGAAGCTGTAAAGATTATGCAGGTATTTTAAATGTTACTTTCAGCATTAAACACCTAAGAAACTTTACAGAACTGAACCTTTAGGCTCCAGTGAGGTCAATGCAAAGATTCCTGTCAGTTGATTTAGGTGGAAAAGAGAGCAAGTCCTTAGACTAAAAGGTCTCCAGAGCATAGACCAGATCTCTGTGTATTTGACAGTGCCTAATGCACCCTGACCAGGTATCACAGCCATATGAATGTTAGATAATAATAGTAAGTAAATGAGTCATCTGTTATTAGCTACTTACCGAGGAATGTCCTTTCTTCCTCTTCTTGTAGCGGTGACCCAATTCCTAAGATTGAATTCACTGAGGAGGAGATCAAGACTTGGGGGACTGTGTACCGAGAGCTTAACAAGCTTTACCCAACTCACGCCTGCAGAGAGTACCTTAAAAACCTACCCTTGCTCACCAAATACTGTGGGTACAGAGAAGACAACATCCCCCAGCTGGAAGATGTGTCCCGCTTCCTGAAAGGTAACATGCTAATTTTCTTACACAAAAAAACCCCCGAACTGAGGTCCATTGCAAATCACACTGCTATTATGTAGCCACAAAACCCCATCCTTCATCACTTCCGCTTGAATTCATTCTGATCCTTTAAGAGGCCTTTTGACCATATGTGTTTTAATGTATTGTGTGACATTCGAGTGGCTGCGCTACCTCTGCAGAGACTGTTAGTATTGACTAAAGAGATACCTCGCTGTATTGTGTTGGCTTTCGTCAGGAAATCCACTTAAACAGAGGTAGGGACATTTTTACTAGACGTTGGTCGTTCTCAAGCTTAGGGCTAATTTTTCTAATCGTGCCTAATTTTCCCACGTGCTCTTGAGCCAAGGCAGGGCTGTGGGTTTTATCCCAGTTGCCGGAAGAAAGGTGACACCATTGCACAATTCTACATTAAACTAATGTATGATTTCTCCGTTCCTTTTCAGAGCGCACAGGTTTCACCATTCGCCCTGTTGCTGGATATCTGTCGCCCAGAGACTTCTTGGCAGGATTAGCATTCAGAGTATTTCACTGCACTCAATATGTCAGACATAGTTCGGACCCTCTCTATACACCAGAGCCGTGAGTCGTTTAATCTTGGGATAGAATTTGAGAGAGTGGGTTTTGAATCTTGTTGCCCAGAGCCAAGCTGCTTGAAAGCTGTTCAAACACACCAGCAAGAAAACTTAGTTTTCAAGGTGCTGAAGACTCAGCCTTCACACTGCATGTAATGAAGTTTTAGCATGCTCAAGTGCCACCTTCATAAGTACAGGATTTTTGAAAGTACAGCATGTTATTGGAGAGCTCTTACTGATGTAATTGTGCACAGAGTTAGATTGGTATTCAGTTGCCTCACAAATGCGGAGCTCAGATCTTAATTTTAGGCAGCTTCATTTGAAAATCTGAATTTATGTACTTACGTAGAGCTGGTATGACCTGCTCAATTGCTTTCAGCTAAACATGATGGACGCTTTTCTATCTTTTGGATATTAAATAGTTTAACGCAAGACATTGTTATCTGTTTAGTGGTTCTGCTTTTTCACTCTACCACAAAGACGGATCATGAGACTTCTTGTTTTGTTTCTTTTTCCAGTGATACATGCCATGAGCTCCTAGGCCATGTCCCTCTTTTGGCTGAACCCAGTTTTGCACAGTTCTCCCAGGAAATTGGTCTTGCATCACTCGGGGCATCAGATGAGGCTGTCCAAAAACTGGCAACAGTGAGTGTTTCCGTGCCTGGTGATCCCATTGGAAGCTTCGTGCTTTACTAAGCTGATCCCAATCCATCAAATAAATTTGGAGCTTCATATCAACATTAGCCACACCAGCTGCTAGACCTATGTGTTTCGTTGATTCTTAGCTTTTAGAGTGTATAACAATTTTCCATGCTAGGAAAAAAAATACTTTTTAAGGTTGATATGATTGGCATTCTTCTTCACTTGGCTGTCAAGTTAAGGATGCAACTTCTGGTGGTAGATCACTTCTTCCAGATTGAAATTCTGTGGTCTGTTTCTTCCAAACAAAATCTTTTTACTCCTGGGAACATGGTTCAATGATTTTAAAAGTAATCTGTTTCTTTGTTGTGTAGAATGAGTTGAAATGATATGGTGTTTTCATTGAATGTGGTGAGCACTAGCATTAGATACTTTTCAGCCAAGAAATTCAAATAATATAAATTAATCTTACTTCCTGGATACCAATTTCTAGATGCTTTGGCAAAAATATTTTGAGATGAAAGTTAAGTTTAGATGAAAAATAATTCATGCCAATTATGAAGGAACTGGTTCGCTGATACTTTTATTTATATTTTTTCCCCATCTGATGTAGCTAGTGGTAGAATTTCTACTACCATCAGTGGGAGCAGAATTAAGCTATCTATGAAAATAGTGTTCCTCCCTATATACCTGCAGAAATCCTGAAATCCAGCAAACTAAACATCTCTGATTTTACAGGCCATTAAGGAAAGGAGGACTGTAGTGGGCTGATATTTTCCTTCGCTCCCAGACATCCTCTCTAATCCAGTGTTTCTTTTAAGCTGAAGCTGTCATGTCATGACAGTATTTCTCAAAACAGATTTACGTCTCTATGTTCCTAGTAACATTAACACCCTCTACCCCAGCTGGGTGATCTATAATATCAATATTTCTTGTGAGAATCATGCAATCCAGTGGTTCTTCACTTTGCTATTCTGGCTTCCCTCCCCTTTAAATATCTGAGAAGGATAACCAAGTGATGACTGTCTGCTATTTGCAACTGCTTGACACTACCTGCAAATAGAAACGCCCCCATTTAGTTCACTGCAGCATTTTTGCTGAAGGCTGAATTATTTTACTCCCTTGTCTGTTTCAGTGCTATTTCTTCACTGTAGAGTTTGGCTTATGCAAGCAAGAGGGACAGCTACGAGTTTATGGGGCTGGCTTGCTCTCTTCAATTAGTGAGCTCAAGGTGAGAATATCTACTGTTAATTTACCTCTTTGATCATACCTGATTATTATTGTCACTGTTTTGCCTTGTTTTTTATGAAATATAATTCTAAAAATATTTCTTTTGAAAACTCCTGGATACCTGCTAGACTTTAAGCAAATTCATTGTGGCAATAATTACTGGACAGTCTGCTTTTGGATATATGCTGAGCAGCTCCCATGTCTTTCACAGGAAGCATTTGATGACTGGTGTTTCTTAATGTTAGGCTCCAAGTAACTATTTTCAGAATAAAGCTCTGCAGGTTTAACCAGATTCTGAAAATACTGCCCTTGTTTACACATGAGCCTCGTGTCTGAGGAAGCCCTTTTTTGACCCATATTGGCAGAATATAACAGTTCGAAGTTATTCTGTTTGTTAAGCTTTAACTGCTGTTCATCTGCAGATAAAAATCTTAAGAAGCAATGTACTAAATATACTCTTTTTTTTTTTTTCTTCGCTCTACCTCTCGAAATCTTCCTGGTGGATTCTTTGGGTGGTGATGTTCTTCTGACACATGGTAACACACAATGTTACCAGCACTCGCTCTCTGGCAGTGCCAAAGTCAAGCCTTTTGATCCAAAGGTCACCTGCAAGCAAGAATGCCTCATCACAACTTTCCAGGAGGTTTACTTTGTTTCCGAAAGTTTTGAAGAAGCAAAGGAAAAGATGAGGTACAGATTTTTATTTTCCCCTGTTTTATAAAAGCAGGTTTGATTTCATGCATCTCTTGGTAGCAGCACCAAACCCTTTCATTCTTTCACAGTTTTATAATTATTTTTCATGGGGTTGTACAGCTGAGATTAGTATTTGCTTGGTCTTCCATGTTCTAGTGAGAAAGATGATGAACTGTATAACAATTACAACTATTTTTAAGAAAGTAAGCGGTTTTGAAAATTGATTATTGATACTGTCTGCATACAGAGGCTGCATTTGTGTTTTGTTTGTAACTCCTTCTCTTTTTTCACTTGAATAGAGAGTTTGCAAAAACCATCAAACGCCCGTTTGGCCTGAAGTACAATCCGTATACTCAAAGCGTGCAGATCCTGAAAGACACGAAGAGCATTGCCAGTGTGGTCAATGAGCTACGTCATGAGCTGGACATTGTCAGCGATGCCCTCAGCAAGATGGGCAAGCAGCTGGAAGTTTAATAGTCCTGTGGCAGTGTGGTGCATTCAGCAGCTCTTCTCTTTTACCTACTGATTTCTTTCTAGGCATGTAATGTGTTGTATAAAGAACCCTCTCCTTTACAATAGAGGAGCGAACGGCCCATAAAGATGATCACTTTATGTTGTCTCTCTGTGTAAAGTCCCTTACAGAATGTATTCCTCCATCCCCCTAGCAAAAAGAAGGCCTGGAGTTGCCTTTGAGAAGCTAGTGGGGGAGTAGAGAAATTGCTAGACTGGAGCAAAAGCGTGGTCTGTGGATCAGGGCTGGGTTCAGATGCTGTAGAATGTGGCTTATGAGGCAATAAAGGAATAATTTGCCGCAGGGAAATGTCAGTTTCTGACTCTAGCAGTCTACGCTACTAATTTTACAGTATTGCAGACTTTATAGCGTAGAAGCTATAGTAATCAGTGCTTCTAAGTCTGTGCTACTATGCTACTAAGTTTAAAACTTGAATGATTACAGTGCAGGCATTGGGACACAAATAGCTGAAGGTTCACTATGATGAAATTGAGGGGTTAAATCTTGCTTTCAAAGGGATCGTTTTTGCTCCCAAATAATTTCAAATGTGCTGTTTGGCATGCTTCTAGTATAAGGCAGAGACACAGAGCTATTGCATGGAATCCTAATTATTTTAAGAGATTTGCTATCAGCTCAGAGAATCAGGATTTTTGTTGCTGTCTTTGATAATGCAACTGAGGGAAAACCTTTCCTTACAGAAATAGCATTTCCCTTTTTCTTGAATGAATTAATTTAGCAAAAAATATAGCAAGCCATTAGGTACTGACTTAACACAAAGCCTAAAGCCATTTCCAAATTAAAATTTAACATTCAAAGTAGTTCAATCGGTTCAAAAATAAAACCAGTGTTTAAAATAACAGCCAAAGTTCATAGTCTAGACTGTCTTTTTGTAATATTAAGCATCCTGTTGATTACTCAGTCACTTTATTGACCTATACAAGCTGCACAAAGATGCATTTTGTTTCTTCTTTACTAGGCCTGAACACCTTCATTCCCTATTGAGCAAATGGTAACTGGAAGGGCCAAGCATTTCTTAGGAATTCTGTGGCTGTAAATGCAACAAACTACTTTGTAGTGTACAGTGTATCTAATTCCAAAGTGCACTTTACAAGTGGTGGGAAGCAGTGTTCTGCTGAATTGTCTGCATGACATAGTAGGAAATTTCCGTGTTGTCAGGGCTCTGTAGTTTCAAGCGTCCTGCATAGCTGCTGGTTCTGTCAATCCTGCCAATAAAATGGATATATGTACAGGATAGGATGTGTTTGAATGGGAGATCTGTGATGTGCAGGGTGTGTTTAATAGCACGCTAGGCACTGAATGGGTAGAGCTTATCAGGAAATCAGAATTTGGAGCTGTGAAGGTTGCTGGAAAAATTGGCTGAAATCTTAAATACACTGGGGATGCTAGCCCAGGATTTTGAGAACTTGAAAGGACTTTCATGAACCTCTGTGCTTGAAAATCAGTTTGTTTCCTATGCTTTCTAGTAGGCCACATCTGCTCCATAAGCAATCACTGGCCCAGTCTTTCCAAATACATATTCACTGTTTAAATCAAGTCTAGGTAGTTTTTTCTATTACTATTAACACACTATTACTTTTTTTTTTTTTTTAAAGGAATAATTAAGAAATAGAAATATGGTCTACAACATTCTCAGCTTACGTTACACTTTAAAATAGATTTTTAGGAGCTTTGTCTTTCTAAGGGAGAAACCTTTTAAGTGAGTAGTAAGGGAGGACCTAATTTGTCTGCATCTGTGACAACAGTTAATATTTCAGATGCATTTTTAAAAACGTTGGGATTATTATGTTGAAATATGCATAGATCTGTGTTTCTTCAAATCTTTGTCTGAACTATGTATATGTTTCAAGTAGGAAACGTTATACTTGATAAATTAGCACCTAATCTAAAATACTTTGGAAAAACAGCAATTGTATCTTCATTTGCACTTGTGTATCAAAAAATTAAGTAAACTGCTGAAAGTAATACAGATAAGATGCATTTCCATAACATTAACAACAAGTATGTTTGGCTTCGCGCATCCAAACCTTCTGGCTATGTAGAACAGCAATAATTTAAATTTTTAAACTATTGTGGAGGCTTTAAATGTCAATGAAATAAATGACTTGTTGGTGATGATTAGAACAAAAAAAAAACCCCTTACTTCAGCACTGTAGCAATAAACACAAAGCGCTCACTTTGGCTAAGGGTTGATGTTTTGTACTATGCGGGTATTCCACGCATGTGACTTAACTCCATTGGGAACTATATACAATTTATTTGAGGAATGACTTGTTTTCCCCTCGTTTTTTAAAGGCTTAGGGGCTTTTCCAGCCCCCCCCAAACGCTCCCGAGGGCTTCGAGCGGG